TTCACAGATGAATTTTACCATTTAATTAAGAGTAAATATCTATTCTTCTCAAACTAAAAAAAAAAAAATTGAAAAGTCAAGAATGCTTTCAAAATTATTCTATGAGGCCAAAATTACCTTGATAACAAAACCAGAGAGAGATGAAAAAAATTTAGAAGTCCATATCCCTGATGCAAATAATCCTAAACAAAATATTAGCAATCTGAATTAAATAACACATTAAAATCATCATATACTATGATCAAAGTGGGATTTATTTCTGGGATGCAAGGGTGGTTCAGTATCTGCAAACCAATCAACATGATACAAAACATTAACAAAACGAAAGCTAAATATCATGTGATCTCAATAGATGCAGAAAAAGCATTTGATAAAATTCAACATCTATTTAAAATTTAAAACTTTTAACAAAGTGGCTATAGAGGGAACATATCTCAACATAATAAAGGTCATACATTACAAAGTCACAGCTAACACTGTATGCAATGGTGAAAAGCTGAAAACTTTTCCTGTATGATCAGGAGCAAGACAAGGATGTTCATTCTCATCACTTTTATAAAACATAGTACTGTAAGTCCTAGCCACAGCAATTAGACAAGAAAAAGAAGTAAACGGCATCAAGATTGAAAAGAAGTAAAACTCACTATTTGCAGATGATATGATACTATATATAGAAAACCCTAAGGACCCTACAAAAAAATCTATTAGAAGTAATAAATGAATTAGGTAAAGTTGCAGGATACAAAATTAATATACAGAAATCTGTTGCATTTCTATGTATTAATAATGAATTAGCAGAAAACAATCCCATTTACAACAGAATAAAAAAAAAAAAAACCTAGGAACAAATTTAACCAAAGAGGTGAAAGACTTATACTCTGAAAACTATAATGCACTGATGAAAGATATACTGTGCTCATGGATTAGATAAATTAATATTGTTAAAATGTCCCTACTACCAAAGGCAATCTACACATTTAAAGCAATCCCTATCAAAATACTAACATTTTTCACAGAACTAGAACAAATAATCTTAAAACTCGTATGAAACCACACAAGTTCCTGAATAGCAAAAGCAATCTTGAAAAAGAAGAACAAAACAGGAGATATCACAATCCCACATTTCAAGATATACTACAAAACTACAGTAATCAAAACAGCATGGTACTGGCAAAAAAAAACAGTCATACAGATCCATGAAACAGAACAGAGAGCCCAGGGCGCCTGAGTGGTTCAGTTGGTTAAGCATCTGCCTTTGGCTCAGGTCATGATCCTAGGGTCCTCAGATCAGGTCCCGCGTAGGGCTCCCTGCTCAGCGGGGAGTCTGTTTCTTCTTCTCCCTCTGCCCCACCCCCCTGCTCCTGCTAGCTGTCTGTCTCTCTCTCTCTCTCTCTCAAATGAATAAAATCTTTAAAAAAAAAAAGAATAGAGAGCCCAAAAATAAACTCGCATTTATATGCTCAGTTAATTTATGGCAAAATAGCCAAAAATTTACAATGAGGAAAAGACTGTCTCTTCATTAGATGGTGTTGAGGGAATTGTAAGGCTACTGCAGAAAAATGAAACTGGACAACTTTCTTACACCATATACAAAAATAAATTCAAAATGGATTAAATACCTAAATATGATAAAGAAAACATAGATGGTAAACTCTTGGATATCTGTCTTAGTGATATATTTTTTTGGATCTGCCTCCTCAGACAAGGGTAATAAAAGCAAAAATAAACTATTGGGACTATAACAAACTAAAAAGCTTTCACACAGTAAAGGAACTGTCTACAAAACAAAAAGCAACCAACTGAGTTGGAGAAGAAATTTATAAATTATATATCTGATAAACTATATATCTTATATAAAGGGTTAATACCCAAAATAAAGAACTCATACAATTCAACCTAAAAAAAAAAAAACACAATAATCTGATTAAAAATGGGAAGAGGGCTTGAACAGACATTTTTCCAAGGAAGACATACAGATGTCCAAAAGACACATGAAAAGATGCTCAACATCACTCATCATCAGGGAAATACAAATCAAAACCACAATGAGATGTCACTTCACACCAGTCAGAATGGCTATTAATCAAAAAGACAAGAAATAACAACTGTTGGCAAGGATGTAGAGGAAAAGGAACCCTTGTGCACAGTTGATGGGAACGTAAAAGGGTGCAGCCATTGTGGAAAACATTACAGAGTTTCCTCAAAAAATCAAAAATAGAACTGCATTATGATACAGCAACTCTACTTCCAAAGTATTTATCCAAAAAAAAAAATTAAAACATAAAAAGATACATGCACCCCTATCTTCACTGTAGCATTATTTACAACAGCCAAGATATAGAAGCAACCCAAGCGTCCATTGATAAATGAATGGATAACAAAGAGGTTTTACACACACACACACACACACACTGGAATATTACTCAGCCATAAAAAGAATTAAATATTAGCATTTGTGACAACATGACATAACTAGATGGTATTAAGTAAAATAAGTCAGAGAAAGACAAATACTGTGTGGTTTCACTTATATGTAGAATCTAAAAAACAAAACAAACATAAACAAAACAAAACAGAAAAAGACTCATAAACATAGAGAACTAATGGTAGCCAAAGGGGAAGTGTTGGGAGAATGGACAAAATATGTGAAGGAGATTAAGTACAAACCTCCACTTATAAAGTAAATAAATCACAAGCATGTAATGTACACTATAGACAATATAGACAATGATACTGTAAATAATACTGTATGGTGACAGATGGTAAGTAGACTTATCATGGTGATCATTTCATAATGTATATAAATGTCAAATCACTATGTTATACACCTGAAGTTAATATGTCAATTATACTTCAATAAAAATAGAAAATCAATCTAATACACCATATTAGTAGAATGAAAAAAACACATGATCGTTTGAATTGATGCAAAAAAGTCATCTGACAAAATTCAAAAACCTTTGATAATAAAAACACCCAGAAATTTAGGAATGGAGGGGAACTTCCTCAACATAATAAAGGGCATTTATTAAAACTGCACAGGTAGCATCATAGCATCATATTAAATATCAAAAGGCTGAAAGCTTTCTCCCTAAGGTCAAGAAACAAGATAAGAACTCCTTTCACAACTGCTATTCAATGTTGTACTGGAAGTTCTAAGCAGGGTAATGAGGCAAGAAAGAAAAAAGAAAAGAAAAGAGAAGAGAAGAGGAGAGAA